CAAGTATTCAGTGGAGAATAGTCAGTACGCATCTCTTGATCTCCTGACTCGTGCCTTGATCCCATGATCTCCTGATCTTCTGAATCATCCCTTGATACCATTATCTCTTGATCTTCTGACTTCTGAGTTCTGTGTCGTTGTTGTTAGGTTTCTACGCTAACTTACGGAGTTACGGTACCTAAGCTAAGTGCTAGGGTTTCTAAAATTTGTTAATAGTTTAATTAATATTTTAATTAATTTTTATTTAATTTTATTGTGTTTAAAAATTTTAAACGTGCTTGAGGACAAGCAACACCATTCTCAAACAACATGCATCAAACGACAGATCAAAGCAAGACATCAATTATCTACTAGTTCTAAGCAATTCTAACTATTCTAACCAAAACAGTGAGTTCTCTTATCAATTCTAACAAATTCTGACCAAAACAGTGAGTACTTCTATGAATTTTTACTAGTTCTAAGCAAGATATCAAGTTCTATAAAATCTTACTAGTTCTAAATAAGACAGTGCCTAACCTGAGGTCATGAAGCTGCTAGATCGGAATGAAACAGAGATGAGAAGACTAAGCACGTTCTATAGATTCATCTTTCCTCTGATCCAGAACTGTTATCAGTTCTTTAATTTTCTGCAAAAATAATCAAATATGTTTTAGCCAAGCTATACTTTCTACATAGTAATGAGTAATGAACTATCCAATACCCAGTTTGCCATCTCTTCAAGAGAATAAATAAAGCAATCATCAACGTACATACATACCTGTAAAAATACGTCTATCAACAACGTCACAATACTCTTGTTGGATGTTCTCTCTTAGAACCTAGAACAAGTCACAACATTAATTTCTGAGTCGAACATTAATTTCTGAGTCGAACAGTAGAAACTCTAGTAAAGGAAAAAAATCCTATAACCAGAGGGTAAGAGTAGATACTTAGAGGTTTCAATCACTCTCACCTTTAACAAAAAGTAAAGAGATGTTGGAACAATGAATGCTCCAGTGGCAAATACTGGACTTATATATACGGAGAGCAGAACCTGCACGTATCTGTTTATAGAAAATAGAATCGAAGTATAAGCAAATTAAACGAAGATTGTTATTAAATAAAGACTTAGGCAAGGGACTAGAGAAAGACTTACATTGACTTTTCTTGAAGCGTACAAAGGGAAACATAAGCATTACATCACGGATAAATTAAATGACTACACTAGTTTCTGAGCCATTTAATTATGGGATGTACCAGAAGTAGATTCAGCGAAGATTCCTTTAAAAGACTCCAGTTCATGGTTTCTGGAACGCAAAAAGACACATGCTTATGTAACTATCACCAGACTATATACATAATGCAGAGAAAATTTGAAACTAGGAAGATAACGATTTGTACCTTCAAACACTTGGTTTCGAGGAGTGAAATCTAACTTAAGAAAATGAACAAGATACTTGAACAGGAACATGTTTCCCAGCGACTGCAACAAGCTATATGAAAGTCTGCAAACTTCTCAAGTTGCGTACAAACAAATGAACATGCCTTTAAATCAGATTCCTCAGACTCATCAACTCCCTTGTTCATGTTCTGAATCAGCTCTTGAAACTCTAAAAATACAAAACAATTAATCACAAGAAACAAAAAGCTATCTCAAAAGAGGAGACCTCGTCCTTACATGAGCTTTTCACTGACATATCCTTTTCACCAGAATCAACATCAGACCCAAAACAAAACGGTGACCAAGCCTGCCAAACAAAACCACATGACAATCAACCATCTCCAACACAACCAAGAACAAACAAAAAATATTCACAAAGATTCACAAAGTCTCAAAACAATATACTTACTTGGTGGGAGGGATCTCATTTTCTGGTACAAGTGAAGCGGCACGAACAGCTTCCAGGTACTGCAAACCTATTATGTTTTCAATACAAGATAATCAGAAGACAATGGAAGTTACCAGAAATGACAAACGAATAATGAGTTGAGGAGAAAAACGAACGATCTTCGTTGTACATGCATGTCCGATTTGTGAAGGCTTTAGGTTCCTTTAGTTATTATAAACATAAACCATAAGCTTATTAGAAGCTCATGAAGAAACATCGAAGAAGAAGAATCGACTTTGTTGGAGCTTTCTCTGTTTAGCTTCTCTGCCGCAGATCGAAGAAGATGTGGTGACCAGAAGCACCGGAGATCATACGGCCATCGTCTGAACTCCATTTCTTCCGGTGATGGACACATCGGCAAATGAAGTTAGGGATGCGGGATCTTGGGTAACCCGCGGATCACTGTGGGCTTTTCCCACTTTAAACCCGGTCCTGAACAAGCCCATCCCGCAAGGCCCGCTTTTTTGCGGGCTGTGAATTTCTCGGCCCAATCCCGCCCCATAGCAAACCCTTATGGGCCAGGCCCGCGGTCCAGTACATCAATTGCCATCCCTAGTGTTTAGCTCTACTTTGATGGTGACCATTAAGTTAAAATCTCGGTCAGATTGGTTTGGTTTAGGTTTTCTATGTTTTGTACTTTTTGAAATGTCAATTTATTTAGGAAACCACTAACATATCAGTACACATGTCTCTCAAATAAATTCGGAAAATAGTCCATAATTTTATTGATTATTATACAGTAATTAACTAATTCTTATCAAAACATCTAAACAAATGTCAAACTTCTCGGAAAAATACTTTGTTCGCCTTTTCTATTATTTTCTTTCATTTTGTCGCTTACAAATTTGGTACATCTGGAAGGCTCGGAATGACAAATTGTTCAAAGGGATTGATAGAGACCCTTTGGAAACAGCCCGGTATGCAGAAAGTGAATGCCTTGCCTGGTACCAAGCTAATGAACAATCGTCATTACCCTCTCAGATCGACATGAAGGGTGACACTCAGACCGTAAGTCTGGGGGATATCTGTCTGGTGGATGGTTCCTGGACCTCCACGGCTCCTTATAGCGGATGTGGATGGGTTTGGCAGGACAGTACAGGAAAAGGACAGCTGATGGGTTTGCGTAATTTTGATAGAGTGGAGTCGGCTTTGCACTCTGAGCTGGAAGCACTGCGGTGGGCAATGGAGAACATGCTTCAACATTCGCCATGTAAGAGCTTTGGGACGGATTGTAAGGATGTGATATCAATGCTAAGGAAGCCACAGGACTGGCCAAGCTTCTCAACGGAACTGGAAAAGCTAGCTACCTTACAGATTTGCTTTCCCGAGTTTCGGATTGTTTATGTGCCTAGGACTCAGAATGGTGTTTCTGATTCACTAGCTAGGACTGCTCGATCCTTTTATCGAGATTTGGTGTTTGTAGGTTGTTCTATTCCGGTCTGGATTCCCAGACCACCTCAAGTTTGAGTAATAGATCAGCCGTTCGTTGTCAAAAAAAAAAAAAATAAGGTACTTTTTAATATATTTAAGTTTATTTTTCATGATTATTCAGTTTTACTTTGATATTTTTAGATTTTTCTTTGTGTTTTGTTAGATTATGAAAGACACTAATTAATCATTGATTTATTTTATGATTTTTATTAATAATATTTTTAAAATTGACTAATCTTTTATTATGAAAGTTTTGGTATATAAATTCATAAAATTGAAGATTATTTTTATTTAAATATAGCTATTAAAATTTTAATAGTTGAAAATGTAGATTACAGAAACCATATTACAAAAAAAAAATTTATTGGCTTGCAAAATATACTTTAACATCATAATACATTTTAACTGTAGAAAAATATAGATTGATCACGTACATATGTGGCTTCCTAATTTTGTGAAAATTCATTTAGTACGTTGTGGTTAAGAGAGACCAAAGTAATAGTTTGTTGCTACCGTATATACAGTAATAATCTATAACAGGAACATTGCCATTTGATTTATGTTCCGTTTTTATTTTTGCTGTTATTCTTTAGTTTCAAAGAAGTCATACCACTGCTACCTCTTCCATTCCAACCTCTGTCACTGTAGTAGGTCATTGTTTATTAGTAGATGCTGAGATTTTTTCAGTGTAAACCGTTTCTCTTGCCATTTGATGGTGTAGTCAAGTGTATCTTTTCGCACTATGTTTCTCCTACAATAGAGAAAAAAATTAACAACTACAATAAAGAAAAGATTTAACAATGCTTTCTTTTGCTTATGGATCTACGATATACAGAGAAAGTGAATATAACGAGGATCAATTTAGTATTTACTATCCCCTTTCTTTTTCAAAAAAAATCAAACCATGCAAAAATTGCGAATAATTCATTGCAATTAATTCAGATAGACATAAATTCGACATCACAAGGTGACAATCTTCTTTTCTTTTTTTTTTAACAAAGAACTTTTAGAAAACTATCACGTCCATACCTTATGCAATAACACTCATTCGTTTTGTGATAATGACTACTTCTTTACTGACAAATATGTGTTAGAAAATGGTAAAGACAACAAACTGAGTGCAATCATCGAACTTCTATTAGGTTTTATTTATAATTTTTTTTATTTAAAAATATGTGTAAGAAAATGGTAAAAACAACAAATAGAGTGTTATTATCGAACTTATGTTAGGTTTTATTTATATTCTTTCATAAACATTGTACAGAATTATTAATTACCTTAAAAATACTTTATTTGTTTAACGTCTATATTTTAATGAATTGAATAACTGACATAAAAATTACAAAAAAAACACACAAAAGTTATGCAATAAATTATTTTAAATTTTACTAAATTAATCTGTAAAATTACCTTTGCAATCGTTTAAAGTATATGTTCCCAAAAATTAAATAATGTATTTATAATCCATTTATATGTTATGATCACAAAATCATTTTTAAATGCTAAATAATAAAATAAAAATGATTGTAATATCATTCGTAAATTATAATAGCAGACTATTTATAAATAATTAACTAGGGCGTATCCCAGGAAAGGACCTAGTAAATTTAATCAGACAAAATATCACAATCAATGTTAAATTGTTGATCTTTCAATTTAAAACTATTAAAGAAACTATGATTTTTCATATATATTATTCAACTGGTTAAACTTACAAGAGGTACACTATAAATAAATTCAACTTGACAGTTGTAGCTATACATTTAATCAGACAAAATGTCACAATCAATGTTAAATAGTTGATCTTTCAATTTAAGACAACGGTCTAGTCAAAAATTGAAACGGTCTTTATATTTGTGCACGTACAAGCGGAGAATGTGGCACCGGTGAATGTGGAGAGAAGAAGCCCTCCTCGAACCTTCTCGTGTCCTTAAAGCTTAACCGGAGGCTACTCTGCCAACACTTCTTCTTCTTAGCCATCGTAGTTGGTGCAGCCATCGGTTTAGTCTGTTTCAAACTCTCCTCCTCAAGCTGACTAGTAAACACTCTGATCCTCTCTAGAGCCGTCTCCATGGTCTTGTGGTCCATGTTCGCAAAACATACTCTAAACCATCCCGGTTCATGACAATGGCACGAACCGCCTGGAGAAACGTTCAGCTTCACCTTGTGGACGATCACACGCCACAGCTCGGTCTCTGAATCGAATGTAGCTGTCTTCAAGAGATTTCTTAAATCCATCCATACGAACAAACCGGCTCCGGCCTTTAACCAATTAATGCCTAAACCCTCTAAACCGGTGGTTAACTCTGCATGTCTTTCAGCTAACCGTAATTTGCTCTCACGGATAAATTCGTCTACAAAGTCGTCGTCGGATAACATTTTGGCGATCAGATGCTGCGTTTGAGACGAAACCAGACCGAAACTAGACATTTTTCTGGCAATTTGAACCACCCGGTCATTGTAAGAGTAGACTATACCAACTCTTAAACCGGGCAACCCCATATCTTTTGATAGACTATACACAATATGGATCAAATCGCGGTTGCAATCAGGGACCTCCGCGATGACTTCGGCAACACTTATAAACTCGGCTTCACCAAAAGTAGTGGCTGCATAGATCTCATCAGCGATAAGGTGGATCCCTTTGGCATTGGTGAAGTTAACCAAAGATTTCAAGCAATCTCGGTCTAATGTCGTACCAAGCGGGTTCGACGGATTGGTTATGAGTAAACCCTTAACCGGAATGTTCAATCCACGTGCGTTTTCGTACGCAGCTTCCAAGGCTTCCACCGTGATCTTAAAGCCGTTGGAGCTATGACAAGTAACCGGTACAAGATTCACCCCGGTTCTCCATCTCAAATCTCTATCAAACCTGAAACCAAACCAAAACCAAGTTAGATCAAACCAAAACCATATTAAACCAAAATCTAATATGATCTCATGAACCAGAACATACCCCGGATAATAAGGAGTCGGAACCAAGAAACCGTCGCCGGGATTGGCTAAACAGAAAGCCACCGTCTCGTGCGCTCCGGTTGCGCCGCCGCTCATGACGATCCTGTCAGGATCAAACTTCACTTTATTGTTTCTTGTCTTCTCCATAAACTTCGCTACCGCCTGAAGCAATAAGAGAAATCAACACTTTTAGTTTAATAGTCATTCAGACAAAAGTAGTTGTGTTTTGTAAGATCACAAGAACTTGACTTACTTGTCTGAATTCAGGCAAGCCATGATAATCCTGGAAAATTGCAATGTCGCTGAAAAGATTCACACCTTCTGCTGTACAAATCGAAGCTTCTGGATGTTCTAAAACCCATTTACGCATCAAATCTCCACAAAGCTACACAATTGAGAAATTTAGGTTTTTAGGTTTATAGAAAGATGAAGAGAAGAAAAGTTTGTATCTATTTTGTAATTACCTGATTTTCAGCAAGACCCATCTGAATAACTCCATCGGGTCTATCAACTGGGTGAAACGGGTTTTCTTCATAAGCTTTCCAGCCGTCAAAATAAGCTGAGTTCTCGCCGTGACCGTCACCGGCGGCCATTCTAGACAGTAGGTTCTGATCTTGCTTCTCTGCAGTCAAGGCTACCATTTTTGTTTCGCTTGTTTCTTTAAAAGGGCTTTAATAAGTTGTGTTTGTTATATGTTCTGTTGAGGTTTTATAAGTATGGTTTGATGGATTGGGAAGTGAGTTGGTCTCTTTATATAGAGTTTTTTGGTTTCAGGTGGATACACCGAGTAAGTAGCGTTGTGGGAGCTTTCAGCGAAGGTTCCAGCCATGAAAGAAAACTGTAGTGGAATTTTCCAAGTGGTCCTTAATATTTCTTGGAATTTTCCAAGTGGTCCTCAATGTTTCTTATAATTTTCCAAGTGGTCCTCAATGTTCTTGTAATTTTGTTTGACTTATACCTTAAGTCTTTATTGCTTTTATTGGGTGGATTTGAAACAAATTTGTGAAAAAGAGAGTGGTCATTGTGTGGGAATTGGAACCAAAAATGTGCCTCAGTGGGGACCTGCTAATTTCAATATTTGGATATATGAGACATCAACTTAAATTTTTATTGGGCATTTTGGATATTCAGATTGGTTTTGGTAAAAATTCGTTGGTTCCACATATTCCGTTTGAGGAATTTTGGAGCCATTAGAAATCAATAATATTTGTATTTGATTTTTTAGTTTTAAAACGGCTCACTTATATCTTATTATATAAAGTAGACTTTTCTCTCATATGAGAGTGCCATGTTACTAATTCATCTCTTTTAAACATGACATGTGTAAGATTCTTGGTTAATTTTTTGACTTTTCATTTATTTGTTGATTCATCTTTAATTAAAGATTTTTATGGCATCATTCAACGAATCCCACTTTTTTTACCTATCTATTGCAATTTTAGTGCAACATGTATCTCTACAAAATATTAATTATATATAGCGTTTTGGTTAATCAAAAGTATCTGAGAAATCTCTACATCTAACTTTTATTATTTTACCAAAGTTTCTTAAAAAGTTACCTCAGATACATTTGATTAACCAAAATGTCTTTGGCATCAACTAATGATGAACAAAGTGAATCATAATTCAAGATTAGATAAAAATCGTATTGTGGCCTCGATCGCCACCAACTCGGTTGTACGCATGAAGAAACCGAAACGATTCATAGGATTCTTGACAGGAGGAGAGCCATCGCGAGTGGTCGACACAACCCATCGATCGAATACAAAGAATTGTATAGAGTGTTTTAGAATGGTCTGATCAGATATTTTGTTGACTTTATTGAATAGAGTTATTTAATATTAACATTTAAATTCAAACTCAATTCAAAGAAATACTAAAAATTAACAATTATTGATTTTGGATTACTTAGAGTAATAAATCTTATAGTTCTGTTACTGAAAAATAATAATTCTTAAAGTTACAAATACAAAGAAACAAATGCCAGTTTTATAGCTCGATTTATTTCATTAATAATCATTCATTTCTTTTGCAAACTATAGTTTCTTCTTAAATTCTGTATTTATTAACTAAACCAATTAAATTAAGTATTTTCATTAAAACTATGTTTTACTCCCTCTGTTTCATATTCTAAATAGTATTCAGATTTTTTTTTTTGTTTCAAAATATAGGTAATTTTCTCACATCTATGTAACTTTTACATGTAGTAGATATAATGTGACCAATCAAATAATGTCTATTTTTTATAATTAGTAAATTTTATTAATTAAATACTATGTTCTAAAAAATAAGATCTTTCTTAATATTAAAGCTTTTATTTTAAACTATTGTGAAATGGAATAAGTAATACTATATATAAACGTTTAGAAAAATCTCCGTGATAAAAAAATTAGTTTATCGTATTTTGTTAACTTTTAGTAAAACCTTAAAAACCCTGAAAATAAGAAAAAATAACAAAACATGCCATTTAATTTTAAATTATCACTCTTTTCTTACTTCTTCCAATAAAACATGAACACTATCATCATACAAATTAAAGTAAATAAGTATTTTTTGTAGTTAATTTGATTAACTTGAAACTTATGAATTTTTGTAGCCATAAACATGGTTGCCCTTTAAGAATAAATGACCTCGGAAGAATTTATATATATTAAAGTATTCACACAATATGATTGAATTCTTTAAATACATTATTGATTTTCAATAGTTATACCTTCCACAATTTTGCTAAAATCTTAGCGCAAAATAGACACAAAAAAATAATTGAAAATATCAAATGTTTATTAGAATTTGAAATTTTTTTCAATTATTTATAACGTGCATACCCCCGCCCGTAGGGCGGGTTTTACCTAGTATAAATATATAATATCATGTCGGCATAAACAAGACTTAAAGGTTGGCACAGTTGAAGTGTGCCCATTTTTATTAAACATAAATAGTAGAGCTGTTCTTGATTTGGTATTCAAAATAATTAGAGGAGTCTTTATGTTTTTCTGTATGATATCTTTTCTTTTCTTTTTTGAGAACTTTTTTCAAAGATATGTCAATGTCACTCATTGGAGAAGGTGGAAATCTCAACCTTCTCCTCAATAATGGACTCAAACACGTATTGATGTTTCAACTTTTATCAATGTTTTCTCCCCTCTACATTATTCTTTAATATTTTCATTAACGATATAATGCTGTTCACTTGACAGCTTAGAAAGCGCTACAAAATGAAAAAGTTATAGGTTATGCATTAATCAAATAGAACTGATAAAATTCCATTTTGTCTCTACATTTTTAGAGTGCCTTTATATTAATGAATATTATATGGTTAGAAATCTTATTGCATAAAAGCTAGGATTAGTATTATGATAGTGGCAGACAATAAAATGGACCACACGAGTGTCGAGATAAATGCAAAGTTGGCAGCCACAAAGACCAGTAACATTCCACAAAGATTTTTCCAGTCAAAACTAAAACAGCAAAGGCATTTAAACAAAACAAAAAAATATAACAGCAAAGGCCAAAGGGTGAATTTAAAGCCTTCACGCTGACCAATAATCTCTATGACTTTTGTCTTCTAGACTCGTTTCAGCGTGTTACAAAAAGAAGACTCTAATCAGACCATAGTATAAGTTCCACGTCGAAATGTAATGATAATTCGTAACTTAAAACTCATGACTTATAAATATAATAGAAGTTGAATTTAAAAGGCAAAAATGATACTAATCTTTATCCAGGTATTACTTTGAAAATTCGGTCTTCTTTTGTAAATTTTGATTAAATTTGTCAAGACTAAGACTAGTTGAATTCAACTCATTTTTGTAAATACAAGAACTATGACACACATGTAAAATACAAAGTACACTGGAGAATATTTCTACTAAGATATATGTATTTATTAGTATTCTTTTAAAGCAAATTTACAAGTCTCTCCTTAAATATAATCTCAAACTTCATACGTCCTAAGATCGAATACAAGATTTCTAGAACTTCTCCTATTAGCCTTTCGTATTTTCATTCGCATATAAGCTTATGAAATACACTCTTATGCTAAGAATACAATTCCAGTGACAACCCTAATATTTAGATCGAACAAGACTATAGATATATGCGACCAATTATATCTTGCGAAATATTATATTGTTAGAACGTATAATTTTTAGACTATAGTCTATATAAGATGCTCTAGAATCCTTATCAATTGAATCAGAAGACAGAGTGATGTCAAATAGAATGAGATTATTTTTTAATTAATACAAATTTAAGGTTACATATTTTCAAATGTTTCTCAACTAATATATAAAATGTACGGAATTACCTAATGTGATTAAACTATATATATGGAAATTAATGATTTTAAACAATAAAGATTTGATCACTATCTGTATACTTTTGTTTATTTCCTTATTATTAAAATTAAATACACAATTATATTAATCATATAATAAAAATCTAGATTTTTTGTGTATGTTGTATTTCAAATTTCGCAAAACGAGTATAAATTACTAAAACTGTTAAAAGTCTCACATAAGCTTTTGTGATCAAAGTTTAAATTTTTTTCTATATTAAAATACAATAACTATAAGACCATATGAAGAAATAATTTTATTTTAATAGGTTTTACGTTACTATATATATGTATATATATATATATATATTTCATTCGTTTAAATTAAATTATACATCATATGAAAATACAGACTTATATATATATATATTTCATATCGTTTAAATTAAACTATACATCATATGAAAATACATACTTATATTTTGTATTTGCATTGAACAATCTATTGAAAAGTTAATATTTTAATTTTGAAATCTGTCATTATTTTTTTAGTGATTATAAATTATTGAAATTACTAAACATCTCACATTAAAAAAAAATTGTTAGTGTAAAATTTTGTTAAATAATCATAAAATCATATGAGTAGAAATCTCATTTAATAAATATTCATATTAAATGTGTGCTATATATCTATGTTAATACCTTTTAAATTTAATTATATATCATATACAATAGATAAGATTGATTGTTTTGATTTATTTACCCTAATTGAAAATAAACAAGAGTGATCGTTAGATTTATATGAACACGCCAATTTATCACATAATAATAACTGATTTCTTAGTTATTTAATATATATACTTATTAGCATAAAAAACTAAAAAAAATATAAAATATTTAGTTTACAAAAGATGCACATCTTAACCTAAGTATGCATCTCTTTAATTATTTTAAATCTTAATAATTTTCTAAAACTCAGACCAAAACAAACAAACTAAATGAGAATAAACTTTAAAATCAATATTTATATCGAGTAATAACCAATATGAAAAAAACACAAAAAGAGAAAAATATTGAAGATAGATAGGACTGACACGTGAGCGTAAACTTCTCATAACCATAATTAATTTTTAAATTGTTAAATCATGATATGAAACCGATCTGGCATAGTTTCATTGTAACCAAATAGAACATAGATTTTTCGACCTAAACGTTAGGTTCTTTGCGGTAAGTGATACTTTGATCTAAAATATTTTTAAAAATGAGATCAGCTCATCAGTAGACAAATTATGTAATTAAAAAAGTTATAAAAATCTTTTAAAGACCAAATTATTAATTCAATCAAGAATATAGATTTAATTTTCCAAATAATATTTTTAATTGATTTTATATAAATTTATCATGCGCAAAACGCAAGTCTTATCCTAGTATACATTATAGTCAAGTCGGCTATCTTATCCTATCTACCCAAAATTTACTAAATC